CAAATTCTTCATAAATGGATAGCCAACGCTGGATAAGCCTGAGACTTGTTTGACTTATAGATCTGTTGGATGGTTGGTCGACAGCAATCAAATTTTCGATATGGTATCTTCGAAAAGATTTCAAAATCTTCAGTCGGGTGTAAACGTCCCAAGAAAATCCATTTGACGACAACAACCAAATCATCTCGGCCATGTACAGAGTAATGGGATAATCATGCATTTCCGAGGATGTATAATCCGAGCCAAACGCAATATTCTCCCTCAAAGTATCCAGACTCGCGCCTCGTTCCAAGAGTGACTTTGTCAGCTCGTAGTCCAAAAGCGACACCGCCAATTCCAGAGGTGTGAAACCTCGAGCATTTCGTGTCTCGATATTCGCTCCTTTAGCGACGAGTAAGTCGACGATCTCATCGACTGGTCTTCTTTTTTTCTCTCTCTCTTCGTCGGTACTGTCGATACAAAATTCGTCGCAGTCACACACGCGCAGTCGCGCCAACGCATGAAGCGGAGTCGACTTACTTTCTTTTTCCAACTGACTCGGTTCCGCGCCGTTTTCCAACAGTACTTTCACGACATCCGCTCGGCGGTACTTGCAGGCTATGTGCAGCGGCGAGCACGTGTACGAGTCGACATCGACGTCCACGCCTTGGCTTACGAATCGTTGCACCGCCTCGATATCGCCGCTGTAGCAGGCTCCGTGTAAATAGGTGTATCCATGATCGTCGCAGTGATTTTCCTCGGAATTTTTCAGAAAAAAATTAATAAGGGACTTAGCTTCTGGTTCATCGTAGCTATGATATATATATTTGTTCCATTTGAGTTTGAGTTCGATATTAGGAATGTCATCGAAATTAACATTGTTTCCGATGTAAAATTTGTATTTGCGATTGACCAAATAATGAATTGCAGACTTTCCATCTATAAATCTTGTATGAATATTTACCCCCATGTGCTCCTTCATAAATGTAAATAAGTTGGGAAGCTTCTCGTTCAATGCTATTTTGAATATCGTCGTTGGATTTACACTTTTTATCATATCTTTTAGTTTTATGATTTCTTCGAAATCCATTTGATCTGTATTCCTCCTAAACGTGCTCAATATGTAGCTTATGTTTTCCTCGTTGGAACGATTTGTTGTAAAATTATTCTCTGCCATGATAAATTTAGATTCTACTAGTGAACACTTTTAACACGTCGTCGAAGCTGATAATTCACCAACACTTGAGAAAAGTAAAAGTTGAGACGACGATGTTAACAACTTCGCGTACGTATACAGACTGATGCTTGTAATGCACATGTCTGACGATACAGCATGTATTTTAGAAAATATATTCGATTTTTCGAACTAGTCGGCCTCAAACACGTGCGTTGTGCGGTGCGCATACGATGTCGCGCATCGGCTCTTGCCGAATGAATTTTTGAGTGCAGACAGGCGTTGTTAGCGATTATTAAATTTATGAACGCAATAAAATTTACATCGATTAGCTCGGACATGATGTAGGAAAATATATGCCATATGCATCCAAAACATTTTCGATCTGGCAGTACAGCCTCGTTACGTTACATTGCGATCGAATGTAAGCAAGAATTAATTTGATTCAATTTTAATCGGGAGTAAGCCAAAAGAGGGCTAAAAATTCTTATTTCTATGAGGAAGTTTTTTGAAAATAAATTGGCAGCGGTTTTTTTCTCTGCAACGAAGAAATCTATTAAAGCACTGGGTAAAACATTGTTTTCATAACAGTGGCCCGAAAGTAACTATATTTCCCTGCCGCTGCGCAAAGCAAGAAGAACGATTTTCGGGCCACTGTGTATGAAAAATAGTTGAGCAAGGTCTGAGCCTTGATATTGATTTGATGCAAATTCAAATAACTTTACGAGAAAATACAATTGTATTCGAATTCTCTTACAAGTCATGTTTCTCTTACAACATGTATTTTGCAATAAATTTTATATTATAATTACGTCATCTGAAGCTCATTCTTTAACTGGCATATCACTGAGAATAATTGAAGAGATTGGTTCGAATTTTCATGTTTCTGAGATGTTGAAAATATTCAATAAGGAAAAGGAAGCGATCGAAAGCCGCGGCACGACGTAAAAAGCTCAACGCGTCCGTCAAGAAAAGTGGTATAGAGAGTATAGCTTGAAACAAAATTAGAAGAGAGCTCTCTCTCTCTCTCTCTCTCGCTGGCAGTCGCTGCGCGGAGTTTCAATTTTGCGGGATTCGAGATTTCTCCTCGGAACACCCACCCACCTCCCGGCCGCTGCGCACGGCAGAATATAAGAGAAAAGGAGGCAAAAGTACGCTCGCGGACTTTCGTCCATACCGAGAGACAGAGAGAGAGAGAGAGAGAGAAAGAGATAAGTCGAAGCGTCGAGTGACAGATTCATTTTCGAGCTATCGCCCGGCGGTAGCAGTCGTCGCGTCCCGGCAGCGCCAAAGCAAAGTTTTCTTCTCTCTTTCTTCTCGAATAGGATGGCAGAGCCGAGAGAGCTCGCACAAAGTAAGAGAGAGAGAGAGAGCCATTCGCCAAGACAAAAATGAGAAAGAGAGATCATCTAGAAATACCTCTTATTCTCCAACTCCTGGACCTTTATTTCCTTTTCTTGTGTTTTTTTTTCTTCTTCTTCCCGAGGCTTTTTAGACGTCTTAGACCGAAAATAAATTGTCCTGCACTCTCTCCCACCCCCTTACTCTATCTCTCCCTCTCTCTCTTTCTCCATATACCTCTACATCTATCCTCGAGCTCGTTTTTACTTCGAGTAACGATTTTTTATCGAATTCGCCGAGAGCTCTTCGGGATTATTTTTCCAAAAAAAAAAAAAATAAGGTAACGATAAAAATTAATTTCAATTCTGACTCGACGTACTTCGTGAACTTGAAAAAGCTCGCGAGAACAAATTTGTTAGGCACGAAAGCATAGCCAACCTTCCCCCCCGCACACAGATACACGCCAAGCCGCGACGAGTATAGCGAAGAAAGAAGAAGCGACGACGAGTCGCGTTGTTGTGCGCGTCGATCTCATTGTTTCGACTTTGGCGAATCGGTGGTGGCGAGGCACGTCCAGGCCGGGCTTTTCACTATGGCTGCTCACTCCCGAGATACGCTTGATTAATAGCCGTGTGTTCAGCGGGCCATATACACAAGCAAGTATAGCAAGGGCTGTCAAGCAAGACTGCACGCACGAGGAGCAGCAGCAGCAGCAGCATCGAGCGAACAATTTATTCGAGCGCGCGCGTCATTGTGAAAAAGCGTCGAGCGCGAACGAGCGCGTCATTTTTCTGCGTGAGAGGCAGGTATAGTTAGTATAGGTATGAACCTCTCCCCCGCGAGGAATGCCCGAGAGTTGTTATTGTTTTTCTGCGCCCGTTATAATCGAGCGATTCGTCGAAGCTTCGCGTATAATATATATAAATGGGTGTGCGAAGACCGTATTCCCAGCGCTGCTCGTCCTCGTCGATGAGAAATTTCAACTCTCGTAAATTCGATGCAACTTTTATCATTGGTATGCTCGTGCTCGTTGATGACTTTGTTTGAATTTTTATTCCTACCCTTGAATGACAAAAATAAGCATTACTTAGCGGAAACGCTTAACTTTGATAATGGCCCAAGGATCAATAAATAACCATATGAAATGTTTTAAAATACATGACCATTGATTGATTTATTTTTTTACAAATATTAAACACATGTAAAATGACCGGAAAATGACAATTCGACTGTTTTAAACAATTTACGCCGGTTTTCAATAACTTTAAATACCATAGTACTACTTTACGCCACTAGATGGCGAGTACCTCTATCAGTAAATCTGCAAGTGGCAAAGTAAAAGTTATTGTATAAGTCAAAGCCCAAAAAAAGATTTTTCACGAAGGTCTTCTTTAGGTTTATTCAATCTGATTAGCACATTTAATTCAATTAATATAATTAATACTTTAAATGCATACATTTTCAAACGTACTTTTCACATTTTTTTTTATGAACTAAATCGAGTAATAAGTTCATCGCATTTGTCGCAAGACCTACCATGCGTAATTTTCCAGTCTCTAATATCCGTCAAAACTATGATATAATTCAACATTTTCTCTTCGTGACGTCTTGAATTTAGAAAGCTCCGCAGAAGTATACGACCCATTGTAGACGGAAGAAAGTATGATGTTTTTCTTTTTTTCTTAATCCGTCTAATGTTTTCGACGCGTTTAATCGTGCACAGGTAGCACATTAGCGATGAATATTTTTTGGGGTGAAATTTCGTAAAGCTCTTCGGTATCGCATTACTCGCCTTGCAATTCGATTCTTTCTCTCTCTCTCTCTCTCTCTGTGCCTGAAATATGGTTATTCAATTTCTGGCCTCTCAACTCTTCTGGAAGATTTGCATGACAAAAGTTTTTCTCCGCTGATTTTTACAAAAGGGACATTTTCTCATCTCGCATAATATATATAATATATAAGAGCCTCGAGAGAGAGACGCGCCTTTTCACGCTCTCTTTATTCGCTCAGAGACCAACCTGTAACTCACGGGCAAAGCAACAGCAACAACGTCGGCAGCAGTACCAGCAGCAGAAGCTACAGAAGGGCGTCGAATCTATATATTCATAAATACATGTATAGCTGCAGGTATGTCTGTATCCCCCTCGTTGTTGTTGTTGTTGTTGTATACGTACGTGGCGCTGATTCATCGTGTACGCGCGCGAGTAGTACCGAGTTCTCTCCTTTTTTTGCTTCTATATACCATATACGACGTGTGTACCACCGTAATATATATAAAAGAAAGAGAGATGACAAATGGGCGTGTGCACGAAAAATATTCGCGAGAGAGAAAGAAAGAACGAGTGAGTAAGACCGAAGCGAATGCATATCTATAATATGTGTGTGCTACTCGATCGTGTGGGCGTACGGTTTCACACCGTATATAGTCGATTTTCCATTGTGCACCTGTATATGCTCCAGCCAGCAGATCTCACGCGTTCGTCGCGTTCACTTGTGCTTTTCCCGATTATCGCCAGCCACCGCCAACAATGCCAAGGCTCACTTTCTGTCTCTCGTCCTTGTCCTGTATAATATAATGCAGGACATTATTATTACTGGCAAATACGTGTAGTGGGAATTTTTTTTTTTTTTTTGGTGGACAAATACGTACTTCAACTCTTCTTGTATAACGTCGAACGTCGAGCGACACATTGTAATTTCGATAACGAATTAATTAGTTACGACTTTCTTTTGTTTCAAAGCGAAAGCACCGTATAATCCGTAATGTAATTTAGAAATTAATTCAAATGAGGCTCGTTGGGGGATTTAGAAAATAAAAAGGATTAGTGCAAAAAGTCGCGCATACGTAAACGAAGAAGAAACGAAACTAATTCGGGTCAATTAAGACGTGCTCGAGTGTGTGTCAAAAGGTTGCGCTCGTATACTTTCTCGACAGGTATATATACAACTATACACAGGTATGCAGGCCCGCGCGCGAGTATACAAGATTTTCGAATCAATCGATCAGATATCCGAGAGAAAAAAATTGTTGAATCGGCCGCGCGCGCAGCACTAAATTACATCAATCACACTAAAATATATATACGAGATCCGATAATCTCGGGCATAATCTTCGCTACGACGTCGAATATAGCTGTCGATCAGTCGCGCGTCAAATTTTCTCGCACTTGGCACGCGGAACACACACACACGGCAGCACGATATATACAACAGTCACAATATTTTTACTCTCAGTTGTGTGCTGCGGCGTATCTGCGCGCGAAGATCATCGAATCGCGTATACTGGCAAGAAAGGAATGCGTCGAAAAATTGCTCTTTCTCTTTCTCTCTCTCGAGTGCAGCGTACAATGTGTACACATAACACAAAATTTCCAAGCCCTTTCGGCTGTACATTCGCTGCTGCGACAATGGGCCTATACTATATGCGCGCGCGCTAGCTCGTTCGAAAACCTAATCGAAACCCATCGATTTGGGCCCTGAATCGCACGTATACACCATTGTTGTCTCGCGAGCTGTGCACCAGTTGATGGATTCGCATTGTGCAATATATATAAGAGCGCAGCGAAATATATGTGTACAGCGAACCGATTATTGTTGTACACGTGTGCATTTACATGGCATTCGATGTATCGAGCTCTCAATGATGTGGTTGGACGCGCGCATCGAGCCTGAGAGCATGCATAAGCGTGCCCTTGTTTTATTTTCTTCTTTTTTTCAGAGGACTCGCGAGAGAGGACAGTGACGTGGGCAAAAATTCCGGAAGGATTATAAACCCCCGAGCTGAGAGACAGGCTACTCGATTTTTTTTTTTTTCATTTTATAATAAATAAATCCGATTGGATCGATCGAGATATATATGCGTTTGAAGATTCGCACACGCGCGCTCACCAGAGAGAGAGAGAGAGATCAGGAAAGTAATACCTTCGCAGAGCCACATTAAAAATCGCTTTCTTTCTCGCTAACGAGACGCGAACATTGTTGCGCCGATCTCGGGACGACGACGCGCATGCAAATTGGTCAAATATTTGCTCGCGAATTCCGCGTGTGTATGTATTTTTAAAACACGCATAAATTAGCGATGATCGCGCGAGATCCTTATCCGGTATATCTCGAAAGGTGGATTATATCGTGTGTGTGTGTGTGTGTGTCGGACGCGATGCGAAGCGACAGATTATATACTCGGATCGACGTATCGCAGTCGATCGCCCATACTCCGCTTTTTGATTGACACTTGGCGATCGGCGTTGTGTAGAAAAAACAATTCGTGTTTTTTCGGATCTATATATAACATTCGCACGACGACGATCGCCACTCGCTGATCTCTCGGTTTAATTACGATATAAACGTAAGGTAAACACGAGATTCCCATCGATCTCGCGCGGTGATCGACGTTACATTACGTATGTTAAATACGTACAGATTCTCGACTTATATAAGTTAAGCCTCTCGTCGATAAAGATCCATTATATACACATGCTACACGCGGGGCAGCAGCACCTGATCCGATCTCGAGTCGAATCATAGCTCGAGCTTATCTCTCTCTCGCGCGCTCGAGTGTACACGAATCGTGTGTATTATTAAACGCGTACACGTAAAAACAGGACGAGATCGTGTTGGATAGGCGATCGTGTGTCGGCGACGAAAATTAGAAAAACGTAATTTGGAAACAAAATCTCACTGAAACAATTACCTACTTTTAGATTAATTGGATATAATTAGATTAGCGATCTCTCTCTGCTGTATTATATATACAATCCATTATGCTTCGCGTGGACTTTCTCATTATTAAACTACATCGTAACGAACTGAAGAAGCCACAAAAATTAAGGTATACGTAATGATTCATTTTTCACTCGGCGATCGGAAGAAGACGTAGCTACGACGATGATGAATGAATCCGAGACGACTGTACACACGCGAACGCATACAGCCCGGAGCATCGCGTCGGCGCTTGTGCCGGAGGTCTACATAAGCGCCTCGCGCGCGCGCCCACAATAATATAAGGCTCTACTAAGAGAGAAGAATTCCGTCGGTTACGGCGCCGGGAATCGTTTCGAATGACAATGATCAATCGGCAGGCAGAGCTACGTATAATAAGCTCGTTCGTCGGGGCAGGGCAATATTATAATGGATAATCGATAAATTTAAAAACAAGCGTCGAGAAGACGTAACTCGGAATCGCACACGCGCGAGATAGCTACATCCAGGTATACCTTATATACAATACGTGTACGATATAAGTGTGACACCCTTATGCCAGTGACTCTATATGATGTACAAGGGGTGCAGGCAGTCCGTTGCGGAGTTCATATTTTGTCATTTGCATTGGTCACGGGCAGTAGAGGCGCGCGTCCCGGCCAATAAAATTATCCTCGTCGCGTCGTTTCAATTACACGCGCAGATCGTCGTCGACATGTATCGACGTATAATCGCTCCGTCTCTCTTTCTCTCGCAGAGATAGCTCCGAAAGTCAATTACGATATTATCGAGCGACGCGAAAGAAAAGAGGAGCGAGCAGAGAAACGAGGTAGGCGTGTGAACCGCTCGCATCTTCTCACCGTTATACACGCGAGCGCGGCCAATTTTATGGCGTTACGCTGGCAGACAGTCAAGTGTTGTGTTGCTGTATGCGCCCTCACCCGCGCTCGAGATATATTAATATTATATTTTATATCCTACGATCCTATACGATATATGTATATGCAGCTGACCTTACTACGGCTCGTATATGCGATATAAATTTCGTACTTTTCAGAGAGAGAGAGAGAGCATAACGTATTTGAGCGAGAGCATCATGCACTGCATTATTATGCTAAGCGAGAGAGAGAGAGAAAGAAATGGGCCCGGGCAATACGATTTATACTCTTTTTTCCAAGCCCGAAAATTATGTGGATAGCACGTGCTGCGCCCATAATATTGCGAGCGAGTGTACGTGGCCGCGAATACACGTACGATACGAGGCCAATTACTATATTGTTATTTAAAAAAAATAAAAAAATTAGACAGTCTGGCCGTGCTTCGTCGTAACAGCTCATTTTCATTGCAGCAATTACACGACGTGCTCTGTGCAAACTCGACAAAACTTGAATTCTCGAGTACCTGATTTTCCGTCGAGAATCTAATTTAAAAAATTAAAAAAATACCTATACAAATAAGCTAACGCAAGCAAGAGTCAAACATTGAACGTACTCAACGAACAAAATCAGGTACAGTCGCACACGTACCCCTACATGTTAAAGTAAGTTAACGTTGATCCTCCAAACTGGATACGCGTCCCTTGGAAGCCAGCTATCACCGAGTAAAATCGGTCCTGGCATTAAAACGCGTACATACACAGAGATACAGACATAGCTCGATCTCGGGCGATCCGGCCCGATAAAACTTATCTATCTCGTACGATATACTCGAAATAAAATGCCAATAGTCGTGGCGCGGGTTTTATATACGTATTATGTGTACCTTATACTCTCGCGTCGAGTAGGGTACGTACGCCGACTGCGTGTACGGCATATGTAGTATAAGACGTCGTGGATGGGTGTAGGGGGTGGAAAAGCCACGTAGAAAAGCAGCGGTAGCCTGTGTATATGCGTTACAAGGCGCTGTTTTCTCTCTCTCTCTTTCTCTGGCCACTGCTTTTTGGGTGTCACAGAGGCATCGATAGCCGTATACAAGCGCGCGGGCACACACACACACACCACGGGGTAAAAGGGGCAATTAAGTGGCTGGCGCGCGCGCTCTAGTCCCTTAATCCGGACATTTGATTCGCGAATGACTTTGAATCCCCCCCGCTGTATACGTGATTCTGTCCTTCTCTGCGTTGCTTTAATACTGCCTTGTCTCTTCTCGAGCGGGAATAATTCGATCTAAAGGACGAGGAGGGAGAGAGAGGAAGGGTGCCTGCCTCGCGCGGCAGCTCTCGCATCTCCGCGCGCAGTCACTGCGGCCTTATCTGGCACGCGCATCGGATTGTACTCCGGTCTTATCGCGCGGCTGCACTACTTTTCTCTCTCCCCGGGACAGATAGCGCACCCCCCCTCTTCTTCTTCCTATTTAACCGCCCGGATAAACCGATTTCCTTCCCCTAAATATACTGTATATATATATATACGGTACGGTACGGGCTCTCGTTGAGGGACGAGAGACAAAATAAATGCAAAGCGCTGGACTGATTTTCTTCGAGCTGTGCTGTGTATATGTATACACATAGACGCGCGCACTTCGCTCCGAGGGATCCGTTTACGTCTCAAGGGGATGTTATACGGGCTATATAGTAGCGAGTTTTAAAAAGGAGTAATTTATGGAGGTGTCGTCGAGCGTCGAGATAACGCGGTATACGCGCCTGCGACGGACGACCGGTGGCAGGCAGCCGCACCACTTCGATTCGGTGAACCAACAGCTCCGGAGTAGCAGGAGCAGTTGTCTATGTACGCCGAGAGAGAGATCAAAAAATTTTCCACCACAAGCGTGTATACTCGACGTATTTTGTGGTGTCTTTTTTCCTTCTTCTCGTCGACTTCTCCATACTCGACCTGGGCAGGTCATAAGCATAGGTACTGCACTAAG